CACGCCCACCGCCCGGAGAGCCCGTGCCCCCTGGGACTCGCAGAGGCGGGGGGCCCTCGGGTAGACGTTCGGCCCCCGAGGCCCAATCGCATCCCTATCCGGCCCCTCCTGAAGTCCAGGAAGCTCGTCTTCGTTTCCAGGCGGTGGATGTGGATGGATCCCCGCCTCAGAGCCTCCTCGGCCACATTTCCTCTGCCCTCCCTTCTCCGAGGCGCTCCCCACTCCGTGCTCGGCCAGCCATCACCCTGCAGAGCCGCACTGGGGCGAGACGCAGACGTAGAGTTGCGCGCCCACCCAGGCAGAGCATCGCGAACCACTCTACTCCCTCCACTCCACAGTACATCGCTCCTCCTCCTCCTCCTCCACCTCCTCCTTATCATCATCATCATCATCATCATCATCATCATCATCATCATCATCATCATCATCATCATCATCATCATCATCACCATCATCATCATCATCATCATCAGCAGCATCATCATCATCAGCAGCAGCATCATCATCATCATCATCATCATCATCATCACCACCACCACCATCATCATCATCACCATCAGCATCACCGTCATCATCATCATCATCATCATCATCAGCATCATCATCATCATCATCACCACCACCACCATCATCATCATCATCATCATCATCATCATCATCATCAGCATCATCGTCATCATCATCAGCAGCAGCAGCATCATCATCACCAGCATCATCATCAACATCATCATCATCATCATCATCACAACCGCCACAACCACCACCATAATCATCATAATCATCATCATCGTCGTCATCATCATCGCTGTCGTCGGCGACAACATCATCATCATCATCAGCAGCAGCATCAGCATCATAATCATCATCATCATCATCATCATCATCATCATCATCATTATCATCATCATCATCATCATCATCATCATCATCATCATCATCATCATCATCATCATCAGTATCATCATCCTCGTCATCGTCATAGTCATCATCAGCATCCGCATCCGCATCATCTTCATCATCATCACCATCAGCATCATCATCATCATCAGCATCAGCATCACCATCATCATCATCATCATCAGCAGCATCCTCAACATCATAATCATCATCATCAGCATCCTCACCATCATCCTCTGCACTCCTCCTTCCTCCGCTTCTCTTCCATTCCTTCATCCTCCCTCCCCACTGTTATTGATGCTTACGTATTCACGGGTGTCCGATGGAAAGCGAAGGGTGCGGGCATTCAGGGCTCGGGGTACTTCTTCGAATGGCACGCGAGCACGTCTGGGCAACGATGATCAAAACGATTGCTGATGCCACTGGCTTCTGCTCAAATCGTACACAAGAGATGTGGCTGACGAGCACGTTCAGGGGTTACTCATCGCGGCCATGCAGTGACTGCCCGTCTCTGCTGGACTAGCTAGACACCCCGCTCTCGTCCTGCCCACCGCGGCCCCGCCACCCGATCCCCAGCCGTTCTGAACCCCCCTCCTTCTTTCCGTCGACGCGACCACAATTCTCTGGGGAGAGGGGGAGCCCGATCAGCTCTGAGACTTCCGCCGGGACCTCACCGTGGACGTGGCGGCCAACCCCCACCCCATAGAGGAAAAAGAACTATGCACATACACCGATTCTGGCCAGACCCATCCTGAGCCCAGGATCGGTGCATATGCCCTCCTACCTTGGCCAGGAAGGCATATGCACCGATCCTGGGTCAAGGATGGGCGTTGTCAGGATCGGTGCATGTGCATATTTCTCTTCGCCCGACCCCAAAGATGCCGAGGGCAGGAAGCCCGGAGCGGATGCAGCGCGTGCCGAACTCTGGCCACTGGCGTGACGCGAGGCGCCAGCCTCCTGGCTTCCGCTTCGCTTCGCGCGTCGCACCCCCGCGAGGCGCGGCGCGCGGGCATCTTCGCGCCGTCGCGAAGCGCCGCCCTGGAGGAGGGCGACTCCCTGCCCAAACCGCGGCGCGCGAAGCGTGATCCTCTTCGCGCCCCTGGGGGTGACCCAGACGAGCTCTGGGCACTCCGCGACCAAGCCCCACGGAAACGATGCCCCCCCGCTCCCTCGCCGACTCTGCTACGAGACCAAACACTGACACAAGCAAACACGCTCTGAGGTCCGCGTGGGTTTCTCGGGTCGGCGCTGGGGCCCCCTGCCGGCGCCGCCCCTGGCGCGCTCCGCGCGCCAGGGAAGGGGGTCCAGCGCCGATCCGAGGCATGAGCGCGGACCTCCAAACGTTGATGTCGATGTTTGTTCCCCTGCTGTCAAATCGCATAATGAGAATGCGCGGTAAGCGTGCGAAGGCCTTGGAGGGCCATGCCGACACTTTACGAGCGGGCTGGCCAGCGAAAGTCGCCAAGGATAGGCCGAAGGGGCAAGGATACAAGGCTAGCCTTTGAACGTTGGTTATCCTTGCTCTCCCACTTGACTATACTCCCCCTCTCTTCCCATTCTTCCCTTCCTCGCTGGGGGGGTGACCAGAGCCTTCCCCGAAATGCCAAACTTAAGCACTGGTGGAACTCACGGCCGCGACCGCTGGGGTCCCGCCTCCGACACCGACGACAACCCGACGCCGACGACAGCGACGACGACGCTGACGACGCAGCTGACGACGACCCCCACAAAGGGGAAAACGAGGGAACGGCAGCGGTATCGGTACCTTTTCCTCCTCTCACTGACGAGACTACTCCTGGCACCACCATTCGTCGTCGTCGTCGTCGTCAACGTCGTCGTCGTCGTCGTCGTCGTCGTCAACGTCGTCGTCGTCGTCGGCGCTGGCGCTGGCGTCGGCGCTGGCGCAGGGCGACCCCCACGGGCCGGAGCAGCGGCGGCCCGCGCAGGGCCGGCAGCGCCGCGCCCGGCGGCGGCGGCCCGTCGGCCGCCCGCGCCGCGCCCCGGAGCGCCTGGGGCCCGTCGGGCGTCGGAGGGGCCCTCGAGGCCGTGCCAGGGGCTGCAGCTGGCCCAGGACAGGAGGAGGCCCTCCAAGAACACGAGGCCCTCCGACGGCCAAAGGGAAGAGCATTCGAGGGTCCCCTCCCCCAGGAGGCATGAGAACATCCAACGATCACGAAGAGCATTGGGGCACCGTGCCTGGCCCCGACCTCGATGTTGTACCTCGGTCCGACCTTAGGGCGAAGCAAGGACGAGGACAAGTTCGGGTTTCGACGTGGGGCGAAAAGACGGGGAGAGGGGGATCTGGCTCTGGACCTCTGCTTAGTGCGACTGTTTGAAGCTGTGCCTGTCCATAGATTGCTCAAGTGATGAAGAATCTAGAGAAGAAGTATGCACAACACGCATAGATCCAAACATGAAAAGACCGATTATATTTGAACAGATGGATCAAAAGCCAACGACATCACTAAACGTGAAGAAATGAAAATGAGTTTAGCAGAAGACCGAAAACTTAGCAGTAATGTTTTAGCAGAAGGAAGGAGGGATTAGCAGCAGGAGGACAATATTCACATCACATTCACAGAAGGCCGGGGAAACAATTCAGGGAGTCCTATGAGGGGAACCGTCACGGGGAGTCCGAGTATGGGGAATCGTATTTGGAAGTCCTATGCGGGGATCCTATGTGTAAGTCCTCTGGGAGCATCTGTGGGGAAATCCTGCGGGGGAAACTCGTGGGGGAATCCCATTACGAAACCCATGGGGAATCCTATGGGGGGGACTTCTGGGGGAATCCGACGGGGAAATCCGAATCCAACTCGAATCCATTTGGAATCTGATCGGAATCTTCAGGATTTGCAATGCCACAACCCCAGAACAAACGGCTACCACGGGGGGGTATTTTTTTTGCAACGCATCCGGCGCCCTGCAGCCCCTTCCTTAGTTTCCCGAGGGCCGCCCAGCAAACACAATGCACAGTTGCGAGAAACAGCGACTCGCGATTCCACCAGGGGGGGAGAGCCGGCCCCCCCGCCCCCGTGCTTACCCCATCTGCTAGAAAAAGGCGCCAAGGAGAAGGCACATCTACTCCATGGGGGGGAGGGCGAGGGCCGGCGCCGTTCGGCAAAACAACGAAGCACAAACATTGAAGCGCCAGATGTCTGGGATGTGGGCTCCCGGCAGCGGAACCGCACGTTCCGCAGTCCCAGAGGCACCCAATATGTCCCCAGGACGGCCCAAGACAGCCCCAAGACAAGACTGCCCAAAAGCTCAACAGGGGTCCAAAGACCGCCGTCTCGAAGCGCGCCGCAAGACCATCGCTCCCAAGTTACCAACACACTGGAAACTGTCCCCTAGGAGGATCTCCAAATGCTTCCAAGAGACGCCCGAGATGGCAACAAGAGGCCCCGAAGAGGCCCAAACTAAGTACCGAGCAAGACCTAAGAAGCCCCCAAGAGCATATTTACGACCGCGCCACGCGACAACGTGACAGCGACGCTTCCAACACGGCTCCAACACGGTTACCCGAGCCTGTTTGGAGGATAGGTCGGATCCGTATGCATGCATGTCGACGACGTGCGCACAGTGGCTGCGCTTCCTGCACGCAGCTTGATATGACACTGTGCTTCGTGTGCTCAGAACTGGCTGTATCTCAGATGCGACATGACCCAGACTTGTTGGCACTATCGAGGAACCATGTGTACATATTCTGCCCAAAACATACGTGGTAGCTCTTACCACCAGTCACTGGGCCCCATGGGACATTAAGGCGTGGTATAATGTCAAGGCTGTCCAGTAGGACTCCTCTAAGTATTCCCGAGTCCCCCTGGTCACATCTGGATCCCTCCCCCCCTCTGCCGATCGTCCTCTGAGCCCCGACGCGTCCCTGAGCCCAAGATGCCCAAGCTGACATCCAAAACGACCCAGGCAGGCCACCCAGGCCACCAAGATTGCCCAACAGTGATTCAAGAGGCACCCAGCAAACCGACAGACGTCGCCCGACAGATCCTAAGGGGCCTCCAAGATGGTCCAACATTGTCTCAAGAAGCACCAGGCAGCCCCAAATCAGCTCCCAACCGGTCCCAAGAGGCAGGCTCCAACACTAGGCCCAAAAAAATCCCCTATCAAGCCTCACGTATGCGTCCCGGAGGGAGGAGGGGGAGAGGGAGGAACAGAAGGAGGATTGAAGAGGTGAACGAAACTGAGCACCCCTTCAAAATGTGACCTGTGACGGTTCATACAGGGCTCTGAACAGACGCATCCTTGCTGCGCTGCTGCGCCGGAACGGTGGCGGGGCCTGCCGTAAGCTGCTGGATGATTTGTAAGAGTGATCGGCTCGTCGTCGAGCATCTGGCATGAATGCACGCTTCATACGGGGAGTATGGATCTGCTCTAGGACCGAAATGGGGAGGAAAACAAAGAAAACACGACCGAGCAGGATTGTCCAGCAAGGTAACAGTGGGTGGTGGAAGGGGGGAGGCCCAAAGACAACATCAACGGTGCGCGACCTAAAACCATGATGACCCGATGCCAGCACCACACCCAGCGTAAAATAAGGGTGACATAGCTAAGCGTAATGAAGCAAGGCGCAGTTCAGGCGTACGTCAGCAGGTCATTCACCGAGGATTGTAAAGCAAAGCGCAGTCAAACTTCGAATTCCAACCAACGACTGGCAACACAAAACGTGGCACCATTTCGAGGAGCCCGTCCCAAAATATCCGCATACCGAACATCGATATAGCAAAGCATCGCCTTGTGCCTGTGCTCAGCCTCGGCGGCGAACTCCGCGAAGCTCGTGATGCGGATCAGCGCCTGCAGAGCCAGGCCTCGCCGGTCAGGGCGCACTGATGTCAAGAGAGATGCCCAATCTGAACAAATGCTGCAACATGGCGTACGCACATCAACGTGGTGTGGTGCACAACGCTCGGACATTTAAACAAAGAATAAACGAGACAACAAAAACATACAACAACGAAACACTGGCGCCGCATCCCGCCTGCACGCCGGGCACATTCCAAACCATTGGGGCGCGGGCTCGCGCACCACCTGCTCTTGCTGAGCGCGCGCGAGACGAGCCCGCGACGCGCTGCGCTCGCCCCTCGCTCCGCCGAGGCGGGGCCCGGCTTCGCGTGGGCCTCTTGAGGGGGGGGGAGGCAACGATAGGTCGGCAGCGAGCGAGGCGAGGAAGCGAGAAGCAGAAGGCCCTCTGAGTAGTCGACGGGACTTCTTAGAAACCCTCGCACCCTCTGAGAAGTGTTTGTGTGAGATCGGGGAAGGCTTTAGAACACTTCTCAGAAGGCCGGAGGACTTCCGAGCCTTCTGAGAAGGCCTTATCCTTCTCACTTCCCCCCTTCGCTCGCCGCCGAATATGGGAGAACTGGCTCGGGGGGGGGGGGGAAGGGAGGGGGGAACATCGACCCAGAGTCCGCGATACTCGGCGATGAATGTGCGATTAGGGGTCGATGCGCCCCCCCCACCCTGACAGTATCCCCTTAGGGTCCAGCGCCGATCCAAGAACTCCGCGCGGGCCTCCGAAAGGTTCCTCCTCCTCCTCCTTCTCCTCCTCCTCCTCCTTCTCCTGCTCCTCCTCCTCCTCCTTATCCTCCTCCTCCTCCTTCTCCTCCTCCTCCGAAAGGTTCCTCCTCCTCCTCCTTCTTATGCTATTGCTTGTTCCTCCAGCGGCGGCGCCTGACACCCCTGGCGGCGCCTCCGGCACCGCCCCTGGCGAGGAGCGCCGCGCGCCAGAGCAGGGGGTCCATCGCCGACCCAAGAGATCCGCGTCGACCTCCGAAACTTCATGATTGGGTTCATCGTGGTCCTTCGGCCGCGTCCCGTCTCCCTCCTCCTCTTGCATGGTGGCACTATTCGCTCTAACGGCATCTCCGTTTGAGCCTCACATCGCCAGCGCAGTCACCCTCTGCCTAGTCGCCGACGCCAAAAAATAATCGTCGTCCTCGGTATCCCCCTCTTTCGTTTGAGGGGCCACGATAGGGAGATAAGCACAGGGCGGACGCATCGACCTCGAATGGCCAATGAGTCGCCCATGTATCGCCGACGTACCGTCCGTGCTGACCAACCCATGTATCGTTTACACACCGTCGATATATCGCCCCGGTATCATCGATGCATCGCCGATGCAGCGTCCATGTATCAACCCTTCGAGGAAGATGCATCCCCCCTGTGCCAATCGCCCCCACCCAATCGTTGCCCCCGATCGTTGCCTCTGATCAGAAGTGATCAGTGTTTAACCGATCTCTATCCCCACTGCCATGGCCTGGGCCAAAAACAACGCGTCCCATTGCTGCCACATATTCCGCACCGTCGGCGACAAGGCAGGCCATGCTGACAGTCAGGATGGGCGGGCCCAGATTGACTGCCGCGCGCGATGTGCGCCGCGTCCCATTCTTGCCACGCTTTTCGCATCGTCGACGACAAGAAAGACGATGTTGAGAAGAAAAACGGCCACTTTGTATTGATTTTTTACAATCCGGATGGGAGGTCCCGGATTGGGTTGCTATCGGCCGGAATACGAGGTAGGTGGGGGTATATATATATAATAATAATAATAATAATAATAATAATAATAATAATAATAATATTAATAATAATAATAATAGTAAAAATACGAATAATAATAATAATATACTTAAATAATAATAATAATAATAATAATAATAATAATAATAATAATAATAATAATAATAACGAGGTAGGTAGGTGTGTGTGTGTATATATGTGTGTCGGGCCGGGGTCTCTAGGTCGAGGCTCGGGGGGACACGCGGGGAGCCGCGCCCCGAGGAAACTCGGAGATCCCAGAACCCCAGAACCGCGTGGCGACAGACCGCGCGGTGACCTCGGAACCCCAAAAGACCTCACCGCACGGTCCGTCACCGCACGGTTTTGGGACCCTGGGTGCCCGTCGCCCGAGACGTCCTCGACGAGCGACCCGAGTCCCAACACCGTGCGGGGACCCGAATCCCCACTGGCTCGCCACGCGGTGTGGTCGCCGCACCGGCTGGGGGCCCCAGAGAGCCCCTGTAGATCAGCTAGACGCCGCGGCCCTCGCCCCGGGATGCGCGACCACCTTCACGCCGCTGCTCCCTCGCGCCGGCCCGCCGCTCCGGCCCAGACCGCGGCGCGCGGCACGCGATCCCCTCCGCGCCCCCTGCGGGCGGCCTGGGGCCCCGGGCTCTCGGCTCATGCCTCGAGCCTCCGGCGGCCCTCCTGGAAGATCTGGGCCCCCCGGGATCGCTCTCGGCGAGGCGCGGCTTCTGGAAAGCACTCCGCGGCGAGGCCTCCCGACATCCTGGAAGCCCGGGGCCGAGCCCTCCTGAACTGAGCGAGAGCTGGGGACCAGAAGCCGCGGCGCCCCCGTCGCCCCCCAGAGCGCCGCAGAGGGCCCGCGCGGCCGCGGGGCGACCCTCGGGCCCAAAAACCCCGCGGCCCGCGCGAGGCCGCCCGGGAGAGGGAGAGCCCTCCAGCCCGGGCCGCTCTGCTCGAGGCGCGATCGTCGCCGCACCCCTGGGGAGGGCCATGCAGGACGAGGTGCTTGTGGGGAGCTAAAGGCGCAACAAGCAAGGGCCTCCAACGCGCGGGAACGTTTGAGAAGACCCACGCCCATGCAGAACGAGAGCGGAGTCGTGATGCGATTGGCTCAAGGTACGCCCCAGTAGTTCCAGGAAGTATCTGGCGGCCCTCGTCTCTGCATCCCGTGTGGAGCGTCTGGCGATCTGGGAAGCCCTGGGAGTCTTGGAACGTGGCATTATCGTGGAGGCCCCTGAGCAGCACCGCGTGGCGCTCTCCAGCGGCCAGCATCTGCAGAAAAGCCCAGCGGGGGCCGCCCGATCACCAAGGCGAGGCGCGGCGTGGGCGGGACTGGCTCCCTCTCCCCCCCGACCACCTCCACCTGCAGAAAAAGGCCCAGGGAGACATACAGAAATCAGACCAGCCTTCTGGGCGTGAGTGGTTTGAGGAGTTTCCTCTTTCAATCCCCGTTCTTGCCCTTCGGGGAGGGGCGTGCCACTGTTCCCAAATCATAAGGACCGCTCCCCCTGGCGACCGGCAGACATCAGGACCAATGCGATCCCTCCCCCCCCGCATCCGTTGGTTTTCAGACTGGGGCGGCGGGGGTGCCCTCATATTGCCTGCTATGCGCAAGGCCACCTTCCCTGTCAACAAAAACAATGCAACATGCACTTCGCGTCTGGACCATGCGCGATTATGGGAAACGCGGCGTCCCACAATTCGAATTCGAATAGACCCCTACCAGAATTGATTTCCACTGCGGGAGAAAGCTACGAGACCACATCCGCCTAAGAAACCTAAGTCGTGCCAAACAATGTGTCCTGCAACTTCAGCGCCGCGGATCGGATCCACGCGACTGTTGCGTCCTTACGACGCGTGGTGGGGCACCGCTCCTGGGGCTTCGCCACCGCGAATTTCGACGTGACTGCTGCGTCCTGACAGCCCTGAACCTTGCCGGAACGCCGATCCTGGGACTTCAACCATACACCATGCGAAATGCTTAAGAAATCATGGGTTAAGAAATTCATAGTCTCAAAAATTGAATAAAAACCTAGAACTTCTATCAAAATCTTGGGATTCACATTGAAACGTTAAGAACAATCGAGACTCTGGACGAAAACTTAAGTTTTCTTAAGCATCGCCTAAGGTGTACGAGCCCTTGCAACTGTTGCAAAAAAAACGCTGCGAAAGCGGCCGCGCGCGGCGCCGGGGCGAGGCCGCCGCTCCGAGAAGAGAGCGCCCACCCTCCAGCCTCGAAGCCGTGGCGAGCCGCTGGCACGCATGGGCGCGTCGCTCGGGCGAGAACCACATTTTGAAGATGGCCTGTCCTCCGCCCGTGCACAAGCTGCCGCAAGCTCCTAAGACGAGTGCGCGCCGCGGCGGGGCGAGAACCACACGTTGAAGAGGGCCCGCCCTCCATCTGTGTTACTGCTGCAACCTTCGAGCATCAGGATCAGATGCGTTGGGGGGGTCTCAGACGAAGGTCCCAGAGCGCCCTAGCGACACGTCTGGGAGTGCGACAAAGGGAACAGATGTCTTCGGAAAAAGGGTAGAGGAAGAGGAGGAGGATAGGAAGAGGAGGCGGATGAGAACAGGACGAGGAGGAGGAGGAGGAGGACAGGACGAGGAGGAGGAGGAGGAGGAGGAGGAGGAGAAGGCGGAGGAGGAAGGAGGGGAGGAAGATGAGAAGGCAAATGAAAGGAGGATGGGAGGAAGATCGGAGTAGGATGGGAGGAGGATGGGAGAGCGGAGCAGGAGGAGAAGGGAGACAGGAAGAGGAGGAGGAAGAAGAGGAGGAGGAGGAGGAGGAAGAGAAGGCCAGAAGGAGGACGAGGAGGAGGAGGAGGCCCAAAGGAGGACGCAGGAGGCCACCGCCCCCCCCCCCCCCCGCGGCGCCCGGGCGGGGGGGGGCCTCGGCTCCCGCCCCGCAGCTCCGCCCGCTCCCGCCGCAGCGCCTCGGCGACGGCCTCGGCCGTGGCTTGGGCGCCCAGCCCGACGAGGTTGAGGTCTCCTCCGGGTGAGCGTCGGAGGAGGCTGGCGGCGTCTTCCTCCCCTGCTCCCCGGCCTCCTCCTCCGCCTCCTCCTCCTCGGTCCTGCCTCCTCGCCGCGACCCTTGCTCTTCTTCAGATGGAAGCCGGCCCTCTGCACCCCGAGGCATGTCGGCGGGGCGGGCCGGGCGTTTCGCCGGAGACTTCCTCGCCACCTAGGACCCTGAGCCTTGGAATTCTCAACAGTCGCACTGATGGACGGCGGACGACGTTTACAATGTGGCTCTCGCCTCAGCGCCGCGCACGATCGTCTCAATAGTTCGCAGGACCTTCGCGGAAGGAGGGGGGCCCGATTCCAACATGCGTTTCGAGCCTTAACGACGCGCACACTCCCCTTTTGAAGTTCGCAAGAGCCTCACGGATGAAGGACGGGTGGTTCTCAAAATGTGGCTCAGGCCTCGAGCCGCGCACATCCGTCGCACAATTTGAAATAGTTTGCCGGATGGACGACAGGATGATTTTCAGCATATGGCATTCGCCTCAGCGCCGCTCACACTCAGTTCAAAAGCTTGTTGGTGCTTCACGGATGGAGGGCGGGACGTTTTCAAAATGCTGCTCACGCCATAGCGCCGCGCAGATTCGCCTCCACAGTTTGCAAGCCCTTCACGTATGGAGGGCGGGCCGTGTTCATAATGTGGCTCTCGCTGTTGATGCAGCGCACATGTGCCTTAAAGGTTTGCAAAGGCTTCTCGGATGGAGGGCGGGTGATTTGCAAACCTCGGCTCAAACATTAGCGCCCCGCACAAATCGTCTCAACAGTTTGCGAGAGCTTCACGGATGAAGGACAGGTTGTTTCAAAATGTGGCTCTCGCCAAAGCGCCGCGCGCATTCGTCTTCATAAGTTATTCAAACATCGAAGATTCTTATGCTTGGCGCATTGGGAATGTATAGCGGCACGATTTCGGACTGTTCGGGTGCAACAGTCACGGTGATACGTGGTGTTGGTTGACTTCCTGGCACGATTCAGGACCCACGGGACGCGACAATAACGATGTTTCGCAGCGTTGAACTCTCGGGAATTGCGTTTTGGCACGATGGCGCATTTTGAAACATATGTGTCGTCCAACGGGGCACTTTTTCCGCGGGGAACAACAAGTCTTGTAGGGACCTGTGAAGAGGGCATGTGAAAACAGGCTTTATTGCAACATCGTTGACGCGCCTGGAGTTTACTCTGGTCCTGCCTTGCTAAAGGGAAATTAGGACACACAAATAAATACACACAAATAAAAATAGTCCCCATATTTTCCCATATTTTCTGGGTTTTTGTCTTCCCTCCCAATTTCCATGTTTTCCCATATTTTCCTGGGAATCGAGGATTAATTGTGTCTGTGTGTTTTTTTCCCTCCTGACTTGCGCAGGCCGCCGGGCGCTCCCACCGTGGCGTCAGTTGCCCGCGGCGGGCCGCGGGCGTGCGAGACAGGCGCCTGGCCCCACAACCAAAAGGCCCCCGACATCCAGGCGGGTGGCGGGCGAGGCGAGAAGCAGCACGCAAAAGCGTGGAGCTCGACCCAATTCTCTCCGAGGCTGGCCCTCCTCCTCCTTCTTTCCACACGGGGGCGGCGGGAGGGGAGGGCGGCCCGATCGGGTCGAGGTCTCCCCTGCGGGAGTGAACTCTGGGCCTCCCCGAGGGGGTCGGAAGGTGGATGGGGTCGGGGGATATCGAGCCGCATCGACCGAGGCATCGGCGATGCGGTCCGATGTGGAATCGACTGCTTCATGCCGGAATCGCCCAGGCATCGCCGACGCATCGCCGGTGCATCGGCGACGCGGAGCGATCCTCCGACCCCACCTGCGCTCCGTCAGAGGTCGGGGGAGGCTGGCGGCGCCCGCACGGGCGTGGCGCGAGGGGGAAGCGAGGCTTCCGAGAGAAGGCGGGCGGGGGGGGGCCCTGCTCTTGGGCGGCAGGGGCCCTCTTGTGCCGAAGGCCCACGAGGCGTCCGATGAGACGTCCAGAGGCCTCCCAAATGGGGTCGGGGCAGCTGGGGTCGGAGGATCTCGCCGCATCGCCGATGCATCGGCGATGCCGACGTCGGCGGTGCATCGGCGACGTCGGCGTGGAGAAAATTGGGCCCCACATCGAGCCGAATCGCCGATGCATCGCCGATGCATCGGCGATGCGGCGCGATCCTCCAACCCCCCATCTACTCCGACCCCATCTAGGAGGCCTAGAACTTCTCAGATGCCGGACGGGCTTCTTTGAGAAGCTCCCCGGCCTTCAAAGAACAACTGTCGCCTTCAGAAAATCCCACACCCCTCGCGCCGCCCCTCCCAGACCCCCGACGTCGTGTTTCTTCATGACGTGACCTCCTGGAGCCTGGACCCCTTCCCGGGGGACCGGTTCTCCATCCTGCGTCGTTTTTTAACAGTCCGGAGGCCCGGCGAGGACCCCTTGAGGCCGAAACTATAGAAAGACCTCCCGTCGTGATTTTGTTCACAATGCGAGGAGGTCTGGGCTTGTGGGCGCCAAGGAGAACCAGTCGACACAACAGCGGTCCTCCCTGGGGCTCTTCGTCCTTCCTCGGCCTCCGGGAGGCTTCACGTCGCTGGCGGCTGCATCAGCCTCGGAAAGCGGGTCAGGATTCCTCGGGATGGACACCCCGGGAGGGGTCCAGGTCCTGGAACTGCTTTGGAGGTCTCCTCCGGGCCACGCCCCGAGATCAGATCCCGGCGTCGCCATTTTGCTCGCACCGATGGACTCGGCCACATGTTGGGCCCCGCGGGGCCCTCACGGGTCGATCCGGCTCCGGCGTGGCTCCTCACGGTGCTGCCGCTGCGTGCGCGACGTCGGATCTCCCATGGAACTCCGAGGTCGTGATCGTGTTCTTGTTGGAGGCCTGGAAGTGGGCACCAACACCAGCACAGGGGGGTTGCCTCCACAGGGGGAGGATGATCCTAGATTTCGGTAATTATTGGCGGTAATAGTTCGGTCACCCTGGAAGCCAGAATATGACCACCATCACCGAGATCGGGATCTTCTTCCCTCGGTGGAGGCACACCGCCGATACTGGTGTTGGTGTCAACCTCTAGGCCTGCGATCTTGTTCACAACGTGGACTCTCATAAATCTGCACAAGATTTTCATTCCCGGTCGTTGTTTGACTGTCCCAGGGCCCGGCAAGGGCCGCTGGAGGCCGAACATGGGCGCAAAATAACAATCGGCGCTGGATCCCCCCTCCCTGGCGCGCAGAGCGCGGCGCCGAGAAATCCGCGCAGCACTCAGAAGAGTTACATCCATCAGATTTGTGTCGTGCCGACTTCGGCGTTGGTGTCTGACTCCGGAGGAATCTTTCAACATTGAACTATAAGCCATTTCCAAGGTCGTTCAACCTCGATCGACTCTGGGTCGCTGGCGGCGTTCAACGTTGATCGCCAACGACGGGGTTGCGGCGGAGTCGCCGCGGTCGACACGACGCGACCTTACCTGGTGTTTATGCGGCTTTGCGCTGCGACAAAAACCTCGCGTTCTCAAGAAGGCGGCGGGACTTCTCAGAAGCCCTCGCGCCTTCTGAGCTTCCCGTGTCTTCGGGGCGGATGCAGGACACTCCTCACAAGGCCAGGGGACTTCCAAGCCTTCTGACAAGGCCCGCCCTCGCTCAAACCCCTGATGGTTTTTCAGTCATAGCTCGGCTCCCCGGTGGCCGTTCGGGACAATCCGGGAACCGCCGGAACGTCCTCGGCGACGCGCAGCTGCTGGAGTGCAGCCCCGAGGCTGGAAACCTGAGGAGAGACGACGGCGGCGCCCGAAGACCTCGAACCTCGAACCCGAAACTTCCCCTCCCCGCAAGGCTCGCCGCCGAGTTCGGGAAGGGCCTCGGCCTCGCCGCCGGGCGGCGGCGGGGGGTGAAGCCGCCGCGGGCGCGCTGCTGCCGAAGCCAGGCACGCGGGCCCAGCCGTGCTGCAGATCCTGGCCTGCCCAGGACCGCTCAGCTGCCGAGGATGTCGCTGCGGGCCAACGAGAGGGGGGGGGACTGGCGAGGGGGAGGGGACCGGCTTACCAGGGGACTGGCATAGGGTTATGTTGCTCCCCATACTCAAGAACCACATCCCAGAAATGATTTCGAGCACCCAGAAATGTATCGAAACAGTGTCGAACGCCTCCAAGGGCCCGACACGTGCAAACCCTCAAGTTTCGGTACTTTCTTGGTGTTCGAAGTTCTTTCTGGTGATCCTCGCTAAAGCAGGTTGGAAACATCATAAGCATAGGGGGGAAGTACCGACCAGAAATCGGCGATGCATCGTCGAAAGATCAGCGATAGGCCCCCGAAAGCAAAACCGACCCTGCCTGGGCGGCTTGGGCTATCGGACCCCTATCGACGCTGAACTGGCGATTGTGAGTCGATGCATCCCCCCAAACGCCTATCCCCCCATATCGTTGCCCCTGCGTGATGCGGTAACTTATGGCAGCCTCCCATACCATCTTGTTTTGGCTCGTGCGAATCGGCGCTAGTCGACGCGAGGTCGGCGCTAAATCGACGTTACATCGACGCGATGTCGATGCTGATCGACGCTACCTCATCGACCACCAGACGCTATCGACGATAGTTGACCCTACATGCCGAATTGCGACCCCCCCTCTGCGGCTCTCCTTTGTACCCGCGCAGTGCTGGTGTGTGTGTGTGTGTGAGTGTGTGAGTGTGTGAGTGTGTGAGTGTGTGAGTGTGTGAGTGAGTGTGTGAGTGAGTGAGTGAGTAAGTGAATGAGTGAGTGAGTGTGTGTGTGTGTGTGCGTGTGTGCGTGTGCGTGTGCGTGTATGCTTTGGAATCCCAAAACGGTGCGGAGACAGACTGTGCCCCTGTCACCCGAGACATCCTCGGAGAGGGCCTCGAGCCCCAAAACCGTGCGGTGACCCCGCACCCCCACCGACTCACCGCACGGTGTGTTCACCACACCGTTTGGGGGCCCCCGAGTATGCGCGTCTGATCCGCACAATCTGCGAGTACACCCGATCCCGGTGCCCGAGGCCGCCG